AAAACAAGAAGGAAGGAAGGAGGGAAAAAAGTGATAGGAATGAGAAGAAAGGGGAGAAGGGAGGAAAACGAGAAGGAAAGGAGTGAGGGAGAGAGGAAGGGAAAAGGTGATAGGAATGAAAAGGAAGGAGAGAAGGGAGGAAAACAAGAAGGAAGTGAGGGAGGAAAGAAAGAAGGAAAATGAGAAGGAAGGAAGGAAAAAGGTGATAGGAATGAGAAGGAGAGAAGGGAGGAAAACGAGAAGAAAAGGAGGGAGGGAGGAAAAAGAAGGAAAATGAGAAGGAAGGAGGGAAGGAAGGAAGGAAGGAAGGGAGGAGAGAAGGGAGGAAGGTGTTTTGACGCAGCCTTTGCGGGCAAGGAGAAACTAGGTATGGGTAAAGCCAGCCCCTCTTTAAAAGACGGGCAGGAACCATCCTTGGCCAGAACCAGGTTTGTCGGGATGGGTGGCTCTTCCGGGCTGGAGGTGCCCGCGGAGTCTCCCTCCCTGCTGGGGGAGCAAGGCCGGTTTCTGCCTGGCTCGGCCCTTGAAGGAGCTTTTTTCCCCACCTCAAATGAAGAGAGACTGTTTCGGAAGGGAAGAAAGACTCTCCTTTGTGATTCATTATTTTTGATTTTGTCTATCCTATGTGACTGTTCCCGCTTACACCCCGGAAAAAACCCCTGGGTTCTAGCAGCAAGCACCGCGCCTTTAAGGTAGGAGACCTTGTATTTGCAAAAAACTTTTCAGGGGATCCCCTCTGGATTCCTGCTCAAGTCACGGGCTCCCGCTCCTACCGCCTACTGACCACTGATGGCAGAGCGTGGAAAGGCCAGCTACGCTCCAGACTGACCACAACTTCCATCCCTGACCCCAGCCTCGACACCAGGGGGGGGAGGGGAAGCCGTGAGTCCTGAAATAGAACCAACGCCTGTCCCATCAGAACTAACCCCGAGATCACCACATCATAGCTTACAATACTCACCAACTGTAGTTGAACCTGGGCAAACGAACTCTTCACCAAGAAGCAGCAGCCAAGACGGTTCAGCGAGCCCGAGGTGCCATCGCAGTAGCAACGGAGCTGAGGACTCGATCACCCCGAGGTCACCAGAGGAGAGTCCCAACTATGGCACCGGTTCACCGTTCCAGTTAGATCCAGCAAGCAGTCCGTCTGAACCCGAAATTGAGCACGGACAATTGAAATTACGCAAGTCAGGTAGACAGGTACGAAGACCCGCCTACCTGCGAGACTATATAACTCCGCCCCTTAAATGGAACCGAAGAGGGGAGGGGTGTTCCGGACTAGCAGGCTCGAAAGCCTGCAACTCTGATTGGCCCGCGAATAGCAGATCGTGATTGGTCACCGCAGACTGATCGGATTGGCTAGTAAACGGGCTGCCGCGATTGGCCCAGCCAAGCGCGGCAAACTTCAATTGCCTTCATTGGCTGCCTGGCCGCAGCCAGCCCTATATAAGGGGCTGCTGCGGCTGGGATATTTCGCTCAGATCTGAAGTCACTAATAAAGAGCTGTTGTTGCTATCTGAGTCTTGTCTCCGTTCTTGGACCCATCCTCCCAGATTTAACATAACCCACACGATTTTACATCCTTTTCTTGAGGCGGTTGTTAAGTGAACCGAGTGTTCACTTTCAGGTGTTTTTGTTGAAAACTGCATTTTTGGACAAAAATGTCATAAATCGCGATCACCTGACAGGTTGCCAGGTACCCAGAATGCAATCATGCTGCCGCAAGGGGGAGCCATTGAAACGTTGGAATCGGATTGTAATCGTGAAGTGACCTGTCGTAAGCCGAGGACTGCCTGTAACCCGCTTACTTTTCTGGCAGGGGTCTTTACGACTGGCCAAACTGCTGATGGCTTTGACCAGGCCTTCCAGGTCAACCACTTGGGCCACTTCCTGCTGACCCACCTGCTCCTGGACCGGCTGAAGCGCTGCGCCCCGAGCCGGATCGTAATCCTGTCCTCGAATATGCATTTCTTTGGGAAGATCGACTTTCGGACCATCCACAAGCCAGGAAAGGGGTTATGGGAGATGCTAACATCCTACAACAGCAGCAAACTAGCCAACATTGTCCACGCCAGAGAGTTGGCCAAGCGGCTGGAAGGAACCAACGTCACCTGCTACGCGGTTCATCCAGGTGAGTGGAAGTCCGGCTCCAAGGCCCCCCAGATGGGAGCCCCACCCAAGTCCGTCTGGGGCACCGCCAGGCATTTCTCTCCCAGTAGGGGCTCCCTCAACCCCAGGGGTGGGATTCAAATTTTTTAACAACCGGTTCTGTGGGCGGGGCTAGGTGGGTGTGGCCATATGACTGGGTGGGCGTGGCTTTTTTGCAGCACCCTCCCGGTGCTCCATTTTTGGGCCTTCTGAGCCTCAGGGAAATCTAGTGGATGAGGCAGTAAGAGAGCGAGGGGGATCCTGGCACAGCTGATTGTTGGAACAGCTGATTGTCGGGGAGAAAAAAAGAAATACCTTAAGGAGCGACTGGGCGGGGAGAATGCAATCAGCTATGTCGCGCGTGCGCGATAAGGACTGACTGGGCGGGGAGGGGAGGGGCGGGCGGAGAGGAGAATTGAACTACTGGCAGATGGCAGTCAGCAGAATTAGCCAGCAATACTGCATTCTAACCACTGTGCCACCATGGCTTGATGTTGTTGGTGCCAGTACCCGCCAGTTAGATTCCTTGTCCCTCCTGGATGTTGAAAGACTATACTTCTATAATGCTGTTCTATACTTTAATCATGTGGGTTTGCGCGGGGAATAGCTAGATCTGGTTTTGCCCTCATCAGTGCCAAAACGATGTACTCAATCAAGTTTTGCATTCAGAGATTGGATCGCCTCAAACATGCTTTCTTTGCTTGGTTTCATCAGTTGGAACGTTGACGTTTAAACCTCTGGTCTCGGTGATGGACCCAGATTGGATCCTGCAACATTATCTTGGGACATGTATATTCACCTTCATTTGTGGAGGGGATCCTTCCGAACTGATTCAAACAGCTCTGCCCGGCAGTGGACCTTGGGTCTGAGTCCTCGGCCGACGGTGATTCCTGGAGGGGATTCTTCCATCTTTTCCAGTCTTCCAAATCCCCTTGACCAACCAAATTTGGCTCCATCTGGCAAAGCCATTTGCCGCACGTTGGGGATCACGGGCGGCAGCATCGGTTCCCGTCCACAGCAGCTTTGGGTCAGATGCTCCGCTTGGCTGCTCCAGGCTCCCTTTCGAGTTCCCCCTTCACCCTGGTGTCTTCCATCTCGTCCTTTTCCCCTTCTGGGACAGACAAGTTTGCACAACTCGCAGCTTCCCAGGTACTGTGTTTCCCCCAGAATAAGACCCTGTCTTAATATTGCTTAGGGCAACTCGAAAACAGGCATAGGAATGCTTTATGAGTTGACATGCACTGTTTTAACTAACTCAGGGAATAGACAGAAGATCATTATGTGGTATTATCTATTTGAATCTATTAGTCATGCAATGGCAATGGATTATAAGTGTGCAATGCAGCACACAGATGTATACACACAAGCAAACATGCACACTCCCTTCATCATTGCACACTCACTTCATTCTTGGGTCTTCCAAAAATTATTCAGAAGTTGCCCCAAGGCTGCCAAAGGGGCAACAGGGGTTGTGCGAAGGGTTCGTTCGGGATCTTCTTCTCTTGAGTCACCCTGGAAGGTACTTCCTTCCATCCAGGGCCATTCACACAACCAACTCTGTTTTGCTTTCAGGATCTGTTAGAACCGAACTTGGTCGCTCTTTTCCACGATGGGTATTTCAGGTGTTTGGGTTCATGAAGACATCAAGAGACCATCAGTAATGGCGGTTCTGAAGTCTGGATTGTTACATACAATCACCATACAAGACACCAACTCAACTGATTTTCGAATGTGGTAAATGTAATTTATATATGATTTAACTGATACATTAGTAAATATTGAAGTTTATATTTGGTTATAGCACAAAAAAAGGAGGTGATAATTATTTAGGTATTGATATTTGATTATAGGCGTGGATTATATTGACTTAAATAATTGTGACTAATTGGGATTACTACAGATTAACTAATTAATTATTGTATAGCAAGGTTGACATATTTTCATTTAGATTTGTAAGTATTTGAAATATTATCTTATAACACTATTTTGAAATTAGGGATTTTATAACATTTATAGATACACGGCTCAAAAAAATAAAGGGAACTCTTAAACAGCACAATGTAACTCCAAGTCAATCACACTTCTGTGAAATCAAACTGTCCAGTGTATATAGCTTAATAATATTTAAATTTAAATAGAGGAATTTGATATAATACTAAGATCTACAAATCCAGGAATTTGATTTAGAAAATAGTTCTAAAATTGTTCTGGAGAACATACACTGCTCAAAAAAATAAAGGGAACACAAAAATAAGACATCCTAGATCTGAATGAATGAAATATTCTTATTAAATACTTTGTTCATTACATAGTTGAATGTGCTGACAACAAAATCACACAAAAATTATCAATGGAAATCAAATTTACCAACCCATGAAGGTCTGGATTTGGAGTTACACTCAAGATTAAAGTGGAAAAAAACACTACAGGCTGATCCAACTTTGATGTCATGTCCTTAAAACAAGTCAAAATGAGGCTCAGTCATGTGTGTGGCCTCCATGTGCCTGTATGACATCCCTACAATGCCTGGGCATGCTCCTGATGAGGTGGCAGATAGTCTCCTGTGGGATCTCCTCCCACTCCTGGATTAAAGCATTAAAGCATCCTCCTGGACAGTCTGTGGTGCAACGTGGCGTTGGTGGATGGAGAGAGACATGATGTCCCAGATGTGCTCAATTGGATTCAGGTCTGGGGAATGGGCGGGCCAGTCCATAGCATCAATGCCTTCATCTTGCAGGAACTGCTGACACACTCCAGCCACATGAGGTCTAGCTTTGTCATGCATTAGGAGGAACCCAGGGCCAACTGCACCAGCATATGGTCTCACAAGGGGTCTGAGGATCTCATCTCGGTACCTAATGGCAGTCAGGCTACCTCTGGCAGGCTACCCCTGGCCGCCTCCACGTCTCCTGATGTACTGGCCTGTCTCCTGGTAGTGCCTCCATGCTCTGGATACTACGCTGACAGACACAGCAAACCTTCTTGCCACAGCTCGCATTGATGTGCCATCCTGGATGAGCTGCACTACCTGAGCCACTTGTGTGGGTTGTGAACTCCGTCTCATGCTATCACTAGAGCGAAAGCACCGCCAGCATTCAGAAGTGACCAAACCCTCAGCCAGAAAGCATAGGAACCGAGAAGTGGTCTGTGGTCACCACCTGCAGAACCGCTCCTTTATTGGGGATGTCTTGCTAACTGCCTCTGCTTTCCACCTGTTGTCTATTCCATTTGCACAACAGCATGTGAAATGGATTGTCAATCAGTGTTGATACATATGTGGACAGTTTGATTTCACAGAATTGTGATTGACTTTATTCTTTTTGAGCAGTATATATATTGACAAGAGAGGTTAACCCTGTAACATGTCATATTAATTAGAGTAGTGGCCATATATAGCTGACACTTCTCAATAGCAAATGCTAATTTAGGACAATGTATTTAGTATAATACAAAAACAAAAACAAATTTTACAAGAAATGACCTGTATGACTAACACAACGCTTAAAAGCGGGCAGAAGACTTCTTCAATACAGACAACTGTGATGCCATCGCCCTCAGTGATGGCACAAAAGACAATTGAAGAAACTCTACCTGGAGAGAAACAACCTGTCATCACGAATGCTAATATCCAATCGACCCTTCTTACTTTACAAGAGTCCATGCTGAAGCTTCCGGAAATAGTGGTAAAAAATCATACCGAAACAAGAGCTGACACAAATGAATTAAAAGAAGAGATGGGGAACTTAAAGGTAGAAATGAAATTAGACATCTTAAAGCTGGATCAAAAAATTGAAACAATACAGCAAGCACTAGAAAGGAATAAATCAACAATAAAGGAGGTTGAGAAAAGGACGGAACAAAACGGAAAAGAAGCTGGAAATGGTTGGTGAGCAATTAAGAAACGTGAGTAAAGAAACGGATGATTCCTTGGTATATCTGGAATCTAAAGGAATCTAAAGAAGAGGATTTGGAACAAGTGATGGCAGGAATATTAGCAGACCTGTTGGAAAAAGATAAGGATGATATCCTGAAAGAGCGAGACAAAGTATACAGAGTGAACACAAATTACGCAAGACGACATAAACATCCAAAAGAAGTCCACGTGAGATTTGCCAGAAGAAAAGTTGGGGATGTTATGTATAAAATTTCTAGAGAAGAAACAATTACTTATAAAGGAAAAGAAATCTTGGTGCTTAAACAAATCCCAAGAAGAGTGAGAGAGCAGAGGCGAGATTATAAATTCTTGGTGAACCAATTAAACCAAAAAGGCATCATATTCAGATGGCTAATTCCAGAGGGAATGCAAATCACATGGGAAGAAAGGAAAATTAAAGTAGACTCCATGGAAAAAGCCCAAGAATTCTATGAACGATTGGTAGGCCCTGAAGAATCGAGTAGTAGAGACAAATTAGAAACAAATTCGCAAGATGACAGGAAATGAGATGACATGAGTTTTACAGGAAAGTCATGTAAGGAAGGAAGAAGAAAAATATCTAGAATGCCACAAGCTAGGGAATTTGTATACGTCGCCAGCAGATTTTAGGAAAAAGAAAGGGGTAGCAGTCTATATGAAGGACGACATGAAAGCAGAGCTAATTTGGACAGACCCCAATGGAAGAATTCTGGTGTTACAAATTTGGATTAAATCAACTCCAATTCTATTAGTGGTAATTTATGCCCCTAATGATAACCAAAAGGAATTCTTTAAACAATTACATGGGAAAATAGTGGAATTAGATCGGGGCGGGCAAACTTTTTGGCTCGGGGGCCTCATTGACTTTTAAAATTTGACAGACAGGCCGCCACCTGGTGTCGAAATGCCTGTCATTACAAGTCAAAATCAAATGAATGCAATCATTCAATCATTCACATCAAACCTTAATTCTGTACCAATCTTCGGCGGGCCGGATTAAAAAGACCAATGGGCCGGATGTGGCCCCCGGGCCGTAGTTTACCCACCCCTGGATTAGAGAAAAGGAATATTTGTATCTTGGGGGATTTCAATGCTATTGTGGACCACCAGAAAGATCACAGTAGTGGGGTGGGATGGGGGGAGAAGGAAAAAAGAGAGCTACCAAAAACATGTAAGGAAATGATGATTGAACTAAATTTGATAGACATGTGGAGGAAAGTAAACCCTGAGAAAAAGAAATTTACATTTTACTCTAATCCTCCTCAGTCATGGACACGAATTGATATGGTGTGGATGAATGGTGAGCTAGTAAATGAATTAAAAGGGACTGAAATTTTGCCGAACGAATGGGCAGATCACAATCTGATTCAGATAGTGTGGAAAGGTAGGAAGAAACCAAGAAAAAGGTGGACTTTAAATACACATTTAATTAAAGAGAAAGAATTTATGAATAAATTTGATGAGGAACTAGACTATTTTTTAAAAGAAAAAAACAATGAGGCAACTACGAAACAGAATATTTGGGATACAATGAAGGCAATAATAAGAGGCACAATGATATCATATACCGCTAAAAAAAAATATGTCCAACAAAATAAATTAGAACAAAGAACCAAAGAATTAGAAATTTAGCTACAAAACACCCCCAAAAAATTGTAAATTGAAAAATCAGATGATAACAACTAAACATAAATTAAATTTAATCGAACAAGAAAGAATGGTTTCAAAGTTGAATACAGCTAGACAGATATTCTTTGAACAGACCATTAAACCAGGAAGGTGGTTGGCCTCTAAACTTAAAAAAGAAAATCAAAAAAGATTGATCTACCAACTAATAGATGAAAACGGGGATGCCCAACAAGGAATAGAACAGAAAAAAGAAATTGCATGTAATTTTTTTTGAAGATCTTTATAAAAAGAAGGAGGCAAACGAGGCTATGATAAGAAACTATTTGGGTACTACTAAAGATAAAATAATCGAGGAGGAGATAAAGGAGAGATATTACGTGGCCCGAGTTAAAAGCAGCAATAGAAAACCAAAAGAACAATAAAACCCCAGGACCTGGAAGGAGACGTTGATACCGTTGATTCCGAAAGAAGATTCAGATTTACGACATATACAAAATTACAGACCAATTTCCCTGTTAAATACTGATTATAATATATTTACCACAATTATAGCAAATAGATTAAAAAATATTGAATGAATATATACATAAAGATCAAAACGGATTCCTTCCCAATAGACAAATTAGGATTAATTTAAGAATAGTGCTAAATGTTTTGGAATACTACGAAGCCCATCTGGAAAAACAAATAGCCCTTGTATTCTTGGATGCACAGAAGGCCTTTGACAACCTAAATTGGCAGTTCCTAATCAAACAAATTTACAATATGAATTTAGGCACTAAATTTGAAAACATTGTGACTGCAATTTACGATTCACAAAAGGCGAATATTATAATTAATGGAGAGTACACACGCTCAATAAAAATAGAGAAAGGAGTTAGGCAGGGATATCCACTATCTACCCTGCTCTTCATATTATCTTTGGAAACATTGCTTACACGAATTAGACAGAACCCAGGAATAAAAGGACTAAAAATTAAGAAAGAAGAATATAAACTCCAGTCATTTGCGGATGATATGGTTCTTTTCATAGAGGAACCAATTGAAACAGGTCAAGAACTATTGAAAGAGTTAGATCAATTTGGGAAAGTTTCAGGACTTAAAATCAATAGGGGAAAA